AATGACCTCCTCTCTGGCACAGGAGGAAAACATTGCCAAAAGAAAGGCTGAACTCACAAAGGCGGCCAAATCAAAAGTAAGAAAACGAATTATAGCCACCATCATCCCCCTATCCATCATGGGTTAACCCCTTTCTTTCTGTCTCTTACTCATCAGTCCAGAAATGATGAGGAGGAAGAAAACGAAGAAGAGGATGAAGATGCAGGCAACATAGAGGATGAGATAGAGGCCACGCTTGAAGATGAGTTTCCTTTAGAAGAAGATAACGAAGACATGGAGAATGAGGAGACTAAGGAGGCAGCGTCTGAGAGGCTGGAGATGGAGATAGCAGAGCGCTATATGACCGATGAAACCGGCCTCGCTACTGTAACGGTACAAAAACACAATTGAGGAAATTAACTAGACAAACAAATGCTCATCATTGAGTATTATGACTAACTGTGACTACAACAAGTGACATTTTTTACATGAAGAACATTTCAAGTTGGACGAAATGTGACATTATTTGCACGTTATAATACACAGAGTATGATACGTTACCATATTGTACTTTACTTATGCTCACGTGTTTTGCTTTGTGCTTTCCTAACGTCAGGAGCTCTTGAGTGAACTAAACATTCCCAAAGTGTCAATTAGTGCATCTCGAAAGCTCCGGATCGTGCAGCAACAAATGCTCCAGAAAATCCAGCCGCTGCTGACCAACAGGGAGTCACTCTTCCAAAAATGTCAACCCATCTTATACAGCCTGGCACATAAGCTGTTGCTCTCCTCTTATAAGCTCCACAGTGCCTTTGGCTGCTGGGATCCCATAAAGGTAGGAGTCATTTGAGAATTTCCCCTCCAGGTTAGACTTGCTCCAACTCTGCCTGCTTTAAAATCTCGTTTAAAAACTCATTTATTTTCCCTTGCATTTACAGACCAGGTGACACTTGTGCTGTTAAATGTGGGTTTTTATCTTACTAGTGTTTTGTATTGTTTTTACGTCATGTAGGAGAGTTATTCAGTCTGTGGCTTCTGATCTGGTTTCATTGTCTCCTGTTTTACATTTGTTTCATGTCCTGTCTGTTTTTTATGTAGTTATGTTTTTATACAGTTGTTGATGTACAGCACTTTGTTCAACTCTGTTGTTTTTAAATGTGCTATCGAAATAAAGTGGATTGGATTGGACCACTACTCTATGTCCATCTAGCCATTTATTTTTAAATACTGGCCCACCTTTTCTCTTTGTGCTGATATGTTAACCTGCCGAACTGTGGGACATTTCCTATGTATAATTGTGACATATTGTTTTTGACACACTTATCCCACTTCTACAGCAATACAAAGAGAAAGATTTGATCCAGCCTCTGCAGTGGCCCCTCAACACTACATATCCCCTGATCTTCCATCAGTATATCTACTTCTTTGCATCTAAGGAGAATCGCAACATGTTTATGCTGAACCCCTTGAAATACTTAAGGGAGTCTAAACCCAATCCGTCCCTTCCTGTTAAAATTGCAGTTGTTGGACCACCGAAATCTGGGAAAACCACAGGTAAGGCTCAAGACAGCTGGAAAATTGAGTTGGGTTTATCTTATATACTTAACCGCTTATCTTTTTCTTCTTACTTTGCTTTAATTCTCCAGTGGCAAAGATGTTTGCTCAAAAATATGGCTTGGCCTGCCTGTCTATTGGTGGTGTTATGCGTATGGTGCTTCACAAGCATGAGCACACTGATTTGGCTGTCCAGATGAAAAAGCATCTCTCCCAGGGACTAACTGTGCCTGATGAACTGGCCATTCAGTGTCTGGAGGTGGCGCTCATGAGCTCCGTCTGCAGCACTCTTGGGTAAATCAAGGCCGGGGCTGGGGGAAGTACACTACATTCATAAACTCAAGGTCCTAACGTTTACCTTAACATAACAACACAAAGACTATCTATTCTTACTTTGATCGCTTCTTTGTTATTACCTTTTTATGGTGTTTGTGAATACAATGTTTATTTGCATCTCAGGTATGTGTTTGATGGCTTCCCGAAGACACTTAAGCAGACAGAGCTGATGGGGTCTCGGAGCATCATCCCTATGATAGTGGTTGAGCTGGGGCTGGACACAGTGGAGGTGCTGAAGAGAGGCCTACTGGACAAAATGAAGCCCACCAAGTGAGAGAACACACATCAATTGCAATTATAAATGCACACCAGAAACCACAAGTATGACAGCTGTTTTTAAATCACCATCCTTGAAAATTAATGTAAAAATGCATTCTGTCACACTTCTTTTGTGCAACTGCAGGCCTCACCTGATGCACGACAGCTCAGAGATCCTTCACATTAATAACTCCTGTTACAAGCAGGAGATGGAGCATGTAAGGCAACACTTCCAACAACAATATCAGAACTGGATACTGCTCGATGGCCTGAAGAGCAAATGGTGGATCTGGCACAGCATTTTAAAGGAGGTCAGCTTCAGCATGAAATATATCCACAGCTACCTGGAGAGAACATGCAGTGGTAAGTACTAAAGGCTTACAGGCATCAGTTCATCAAGGTTGTTTACACCTAAAGTAATATAGCATGTGTTATGTCACAACAGATTTTTTTAAATTGAATTTTGCAGGGAATGCAGCCTGCATCAACAGACTGTGCATCACGCCCAGGGAGCTGCAGCATCGGCTTGGAGAGTTTGATCAGTACTGCCCTGTCTGCCTGGCTCTCTGTCATCACCTGGTAGACCGCTCAGACATCACAGCCTTAACTCACGCAGCTGAGTACAGGGGAAAGTATTACAAGATGTGTGGCGAAGACCATTTGGAGGTGAGTCACAATGGAGTCTGCACAATTAAGTATGGAAAAGGTTTCAGGACCAATTCATCTGACATTTCATTTATTTCCAATTGTGTGTATAATAGAAGGTTTAAGATGCAAATACATGAGATAATTTTAGGATTTTTCAATGGTCTTTCTCCACCAGCAATTCCTTACAACTCCAGATCAGTTTGTGACTCCACAATGCCTACACCCTCTCCCACAATCCCAGCTGCTGCCACGAAAGCTCACTGAGAGCCAGGTGAAGAACAGGTTCCCACAGCAGGTTGAGATGAAGGGCTTCTGCTCGGTAACTTATGTGGATGGAAAGCAAAGGTACTCACCCATATATTGTTCAAATCTAAATCTTTCAAGTACATGATAAGCTCCTTTTTGTCATGTCTTGAGAATGCATTTCTAAGACCCAAAACGATATACTGTATGTCAGCCTAAAGGGATTCCTGTGTTTGTAGAGAAATAAACAGGCATGTAGCTGATTATAATCTCACTAGAAACAGGTAATACTTGCATTACTTGCATTTTGAAAGCACAATATGTAAATAATAATGACAAGAAATATTTAAAAACAAACATTCATAAAACTGCAGCATCGGAGAAAAACTGAATGTAAAACTAAATCCCAACAAACATAACAAATATGTCAAGAGGTTCATTTTTTGTATCAGATTTCTTATAACAGCCTTTAACTCTTTACCATACTGCTCTATTAATGTATTTGTCCTCAGGTATGAAGCTCTTGTTCGAGGAAAGATGGAATTTGCTGTTGAATACAGAGAACAAATCTACATTTTTGAGACAAAGCGGAAACAGGACAAGTTTTTGAGGTGCCGATCTATCTCTTTGTATATTTCACAATTGTTCTTTTGATGTTTTCTTTTCCCACTGTTCATTAAGTTGTGCATATATAACAAAAAGACACTGGTATTATTTAGCCATTGCAAATAGTCTATTGAGTGAAAATTGGTGTGGATATTTTACCTTTTTTAAGGACTCCTGAAACGTACTGGAACCAGAAGCTTCCCAGTAAAGTTCCTCCTCTTTGTGAACCTGTACCCCTCACCTCCCTTCCAACGTTGGGCTACCTGGAACAGGTCAGACAAGCACTTTAGCACATCATTTGTTAAATATATGTTTTTTAAGTCTGGTTGACATTTATTTGCCCTGCTTTGAGTTGAGTCTGTATTTTTATAGGGTGTGGCAGTATCAGTAATCAAGGCCATGACAGCTGTTGGGTGTCTCAAACCAAAGTATCCCTTCCTCAGTATACAAAGGTCATCACTCCTCTATGTGGCCTTATATCTGAAAGGTAGGCAAGACACAAAGGAATTGCTTGAACTTAAAAAGGATAATGGTGTTTCTGATATGTAATATTTTATTTATCCATGTACTATTGCTCAAAAACCTGCATAGAAATGTATCCAACTAATGAATTATATGTCATATTTGTACAGCTTTTAATCACAAGAGCACAGATTACAGCCGCCAGAAGTACAAAAAGAAGCTGGCATTGTATGAAGAAAACTGTGTGCTCATTCCCTACCTGACCTCAACGATGAGAGGGAACTACCAGCCTCCCAGTGAACGTCCCCTTGACTTTGAGTTCAAATTGAATAGGTTCCTTGCCTTGGGACACTTGCCGGGTGCCAACAGTGTGCTGTAGCTGTCCCCGCTTTCAAAGCTTGACTATTGCCTGCTATTACATATAGTGGTAGAATTGTGTGACAAAAAGGTCATTTGAAAACCAACTGCTATACAAGTTTATTTTATTTCTTCATGTTATAAACTATTATTCTCTGTGTCATGGCTGAAAAATATGTTTGGCCTGGCTCATAAACCTTGCTGGTATACTCTGTCTAGTAGACCTTGTGCATTACTTTTTTTGCCTCACATTTTACAAAACCAAAAAATGAAATTAACAAAAGGATGTCAGTGTTATGAGATCAAGATTAGGTATGGTAGAAGATACTCTTAATTAACTGTTAAGATACTTAAATAAAGAATGAAATACAAATATGTTAAAAACGTAGGGTCTTACGTTTGTTATTTTATTGAATTAATTCTCTTTTATGTTGACAGATCGTGTTTTCAGACAGTTTGTAGATTCGTTAAGGTGTATCTGAATGATCTACACCAGACCTGTTTCTGATCCACAAATAAAAAGTGTAATTATTAGACCGTGTGATCTCGTTTTTCAACGCGAGACTTTACCGGATAGAGAAAGCGCGAATTCGACACACGACTCTTCTCCAAGCTGTGTCGGAGTTGTGTGTGCGGCTGCAACAGCAGCAGCAAATTAGGTAATTATTCACCGTTACCAGTCGTTCTAATTCACTATAACAACCACAACATTTCCAGCTGCTGTCTGGCTTAATAGTTGTTATGTTAACAAGTAACCTGAGTTAGCCAGCTAAGTTAGCTTTGTAACGTTGCTAATTTGCTGTAACTAAACAACGTTACTAACGTGCTGTTATTGTTGTCGTTTAACCTGTTAAACCCATAGACTGTATATATAAAGGTTAAACCACATCAATTATTACTGAAAGTTTGCGAAATGCATTCTTCTACACAAGCTAACCACAGCGTTTTAGTAGCTGAAGAGTAGCTGTTCAAATTCAAGCATTAGCTCGACTATGCTAGTAAAGTATATTGTTTGCTTGCTTTCAGTTTCAGTTTCTCCCCGAATGTAAACTAGCTGTCCAAGATGCCCAAGAGGAAAAGCGGCTCAGCAATTGAGGAGCCTCCAAAGCAGGTCAATGCGGAGGAGGAAGATGAGAGTGACAGTGACCAGGAAGATCATCCACAGAATAGACAGGTTTGTACTAGTGATGTGTCGGTCGCGAACGAGCCGGTGTTGTGCCGTAGATTGAAGCCTTGCCGTAGATTGAAGCCCTGTTCGCGGGGACGCGCAAACGTGACGTCATCGCCTGTATTGACCGTTCGTCTAGTTTAATAAGCTTTTCTCTCTCTTTTGAATGATATATTTCCCATCAGATTAAACAGCAAACGGCTGAATAAATAATGTGCATACAATTGCGAGGAGGCTCGTTTTAAGGACACTTTTCAGATAGTCACAATCTTCGTATTGGAACAAACTTCCGTTTTTGAGTGCAGTCCCACTCTGCTATGTTCCTCCTTCCTACAGAACAGACAATGACAGGATAATATGTCATTTGTCAGTATAGTCCTATTTCTTAAAACCTTCTCTGTTGTTTAAGTGTCTGATAACCACGAATAGTAAGCAATGATATAACAGTAATGATATCACATATATGATCATGTCAGACACTGTGTTATTTTCAATCAAGCCTAAAAGATAATGTGTTAAAACTGGCTTCACTCATTTGAATTGCTCCTTTGAATATCATTTTTATATATTTCTACTCAACACATGTTTGTATTGTAATGCCACTATTTTTTTTTAAATTGTATTTTAAAGTCACATTGAATGCTTTGAAAGGTGCCCTAAAATAAAGTATATTATTGATCTTATATCTGTGCCTCTATTACATTTCATTTTCTATCACACTATTAATGTTCCTTATTTTAGACTAGGTTAATCCTGGTGTCAATAGGGAAGATATGCACTGTTCTCTACATAACATGTTCAGAGCAGGTATTTCTCCTGCCGGATTTGGAACCCCCCCCTATATCTTTGTCCAGGATAGTCACAACTTCACCACAATCACACTGGTGCTTGCTGTCCCCCTCTAGTTTGTGCTCACAAAAGCATTTTACATACATACACTCATGTTCAGCAGAGCAGGTATTTCTCCTGCCAGATATGGCACCACCCCCCCTACAACTTTGTCCAGGACAGTCACAACTTCACCAAAATCACACTGGTGCTTGCTGTCCCCCTCTAGTTTGTGCTCACAAAAGCATTTCACTCTGGGCCCAGCAAGTCCAAAACTAAAGAGGGGCTTCCATATCCGGCAGTGCAGTTGCTAGAGCTGCCGGATTTTGAAGCGCCCCCTTTAATTTTGGCCAGGATAGTCACAATGTCACCAAAATCACACTGGTGTTGCTTGTTCCCCTCTAGTTTATGCTCACCAAAGCATTTCACTCTAGGCCCAGCAGGTACAAAAATAAAGAGGGGCTTCCATATCCGGCAGTGCAGTTGTTAGAGCTGCAGGATTTTGAAGCGCCCCCTGTAATTTTGGCCAGGATAGTCACAGACTCACCAAAATCACACTGGTGTTGCTTGTTCCCCTCTAGTTTGTGTTCTCAAAAGCAACAGTGCAGATCTTCCCTATTGACACCAGGATTAACCTAGTCTAAAATAAGGAACATTAATAATGTGATAGAAAATTAAATGTAATGTAATAGAGGCACAGATATAAGATCAATAATACACTTTATTTTAGGGCACCTTTCAAAGCATTCAATGTCACTTTAAAATACAATTTTAAAAAAAATGAATAGTGGCATTACAATACAAACATGTGTTGAGTAGGAATATATAAAAATGATATTCAAAGGAGCAATTCAAATGAGTGAAGCCAGTTTGAACACATTATCTTTTAGGCTTGATTGAAAATAACACAGTGTCTGACATGATCATATATGTGATATCATTACTGTTATATCATTGCTTACTATTCGTGGTTATCAGACACTTAAACAACAGAGAAGGTTTTAAGAAATAGGACTATACTCAGGGGTGCACATAACTTTTTTGCCCTGGTTCTCAAAGGAGCACCTGGAGATGTTGCTTGGTGCTCATCCTTAAAATGAAATAAACCGTAACTTTTGAGGGGGTCTTGACTTTATGTGCCAGACACACGGCACTGAACACACATGCAGAGGTGAACACAGAACACACGTGCAGAGGTGAACACAGAACACACATGCAGACAGAGGTGAACACAAGACAACATTGGCACGACCAGTAATCCTACAAGCTGTCATCACTACCCTCCTGACTGTTTTCCTCACTGTCAGACATGGAGATGTAGGCCTACTTCTTTCTCTCTGGTTGAGTCTGCGATTAGCTGCTTGCATCCACAAGTCAACAGCTGGTTTTGGGTCGAAAGTCTCTGTTATCATCTTAGACAAGTGGATGTAAACAAATAAGTATGTGAACATAACCAATAGCCTACCATAGCCAATAACAAATGAATGTAACTTATTTTATTTGTGTTGTTCATTCATATCTTATTTTACCTTAACATTTATTTATTTATGCATTTTTTTTTTTATCTCTCCAGTTTTAAAAGATATTTTTGGTTACTGTCCTATAGTATACATTGGAATGATTTCAAACCTGTTTATCCCAATAATTATAAAGGAGTGCCTTGGAAATATGTGTTTACATAAATTGTGACCAAATCGTTTGAACTTAGACTAAAGTGAACTATCTAAACACTCAGAGTTCTTTACCTCACTGAGCTGTAGTTATCAGCCTCTCAGTCTGACTGGAGAGGACTCTCCCTCCACATCATTGTAGAAACATCTTCTTCTTATATCCGTTAGAGCAGCTAGCACCAGATTCTAATAACAACAGCGCTGGTACCGGTGCACTCTCCCTCGCTCACTCGCATTTTGGCAGTGAGCTGCGGGCGCCAGATAAGCCAACATCCCCCATTTTCATCACTTACAGCGCCCATCGTACAGGGCAAATGAAACGTGTAACCGGGGTGAAAAGTGTGTTACATTTACTTAATTGAGAATATTGTTACATCAAGACCGAAAATTAGGATGAGCACCTACGGTCAAAAAAATGTTTTTCCCTCCCAGAACTACCAGCGCAGCACCTCCACAGATCTGGCGCCCTAGGCGAACATCTATAGTGCCAGTGCCACGGGCCGGCCCTGAGTTCATATGCAACTCGCAAATATCTTTCTCTCTTCTCTCTCCTCTCTTCTCTCTCCTCTCTTTTCTCTTCTCTCTCTCCCTCTTCTCCCTTCTCTCTCTCCCCCTCTCTCTCTCTCAATGTTGGTGCGCAAATGCGCCTTTTTTCAAATGACCCGGTGCTCTTTCTTTGACTGGCAATTGTATGCACATTATTTATTCAGCCGTTTGCTGTTTAATCTGATATATCACTCAAAAGAGAGAAAAACGCTTAGAAAAGGGTGAAAAAAGCTTAGAAAACGGCGAACGCTCAATACAGGCGATGACGTCACCTTTGCGCGTCCCCGCGAACAGGGCTTCAATCCACGGCAAGGCTTCAACCTACGGCATAACACCGGCTCTTTTAAGTGAACGACGGGAGCCGGCGAACGAGACGGTTTTTTTTTTTTTGCGGGGAGAGATCGACTTGAAGGCACATTATGCAATGTGCACATTATCCCGCTTATTACACATGGCCACATTCTCAACAAAGTAACGACATGACTCCCAATATTAGTTGAAATGCTTTTATGGATTTAGAAAATGATTTTATTGATTTAAAAAATAGTTTTCTGTATTGATTTAAATTGACATGCATCCGCTAAGAAAAATAGTCCGTTGTTACTGTTTGAACTAACGTAGCAACGGCAGGAACTGCTTCGATAGTGTTTTTGAGGAGCTTTTTGATTACAGATTTGAAAACATCGTTGCTTGCTTTAAAAGTAGCACAATTCATTATGTCAAACCTTGGAAAGTATCTAGATATCCCTGCCCTAATGCCAAAGTAACTGGCAACTGAATATGTGTCGCCGTTTGATGTCTATGTCTGGACCGCTGTGTAAAAAGGAGGGTTTCTGCCCCATTACTTCTGTTCTTACTTCTATAAGAATAAAACACGGAGGACGGAGATCTCTTTTTCTCCCCCTCTTCTGACAGCCCAGCAGCTGATCTCAAAGCACGCTCCCCTCTCATGCAGGGGGGCGTGGTCAGCTGCAGCTCACAGAATCAGCCCCTGCAAAAACAGTGCTGGAAAGAGCAAATAGAGCGAAATGAGGCATGGCTAAAATGCAGGATCTTTTTGGTCTATATAGTCTATATTTTTTTATATAAAAAAACTATATTTATATACTTTATATAGGTCGATACAGTAGCCCCTTTTCTTTTAAATTGTTTTTATAGGTGTTGCTATCTGTTTTGTGTAGCGTGGTTCTACAAGCAAGTCAATGCATTCATTGGGTGGTATCAGAGAGTTACAAGGGTCTGTAAATGCAATGAAAACAATTGGCCCCAGCAAATCATTTATATTAAACATGTAATTTTTACTTTTGAATACTTCAGTACAAAGGATGTATTGAATAATTTAAGTGATATATGTGTACACATATAAATCATTAGTCAAAACAGGGCTACATTTGATTTAATTAAAAGGTATAATATGTGGTAAACTGAAGAGCCGTTTGGGAGCCGAAAGAGCCGGCTCTTCTTGGTGAGCCGAGCCAAATGATCCGGCTCACCAAGAAGAGCCGGAATTCCCATCACTAGTTTGTACCGTCACTGTCAAGCTGTACAATATGTTATCCAATCAGGACTCACGTCAGACTGTCAACTTCTCACTTCAAAACATAGACTTTATTTGTGCGGGCCGCCCGCGTATAGTCTATTAACGGCCACCAAAGTATATTTTTGTAACCATCCGCGAGCACGACTAGTGGACCGCGTTCACACGGAGTACTTTTCCCCGTACTTTTCGCGTTTAGTTCCGTTAGTACCCCTTATGTCGCGTTCACACCAAAAAGAGTACTGAGTGCCGGGAACTTTTACCCCCATTTTTAGTGCCTGCTGAGAGATGGTACTTTCCTGGGGGAAAAAAGTGCCCCAGTTCTGATTGGCTGGGCAAATTGCAAACCACACCACATAAAACTCTGAAATGTTTTTGTAGAGCCGCCATTTTATTATCCTCGCATTAGCATTATTAGCATTCGCCCAGCGCACAAACGCAGAGAGACTGACTTATGGCAACACAAAATAAAACATGGGAGCGGTGGAGATGAGGAGGTGTCGGCGTTCTGGTGATTTACTCGGAAGGCTTCAGTAGAAGCCAGTCCCCAACTCCGGGGACTTCCGGCCGGGGACTTCGGGTGGCAGTATATGCAGGCCGTGTCTCAATTCAGGGGTTGCATACTTCGAAGGGTGCATTCGTAGACCGCTTACGTCACTTCCGCCGAAAGAAGGCTGTCCCAATTTTTTTTTTTTAGACGAGACTCTTCCGAATGCAGCCCACGAATGCAGCCTACTTTTCCCCAATTTGAAGGATACATCTGATGTACACTCCGCGGCCTACCATATCCCAGGGTGCAATGCGCGCAGGGAAGAGGGAGTTTTTTTTCAAATGAAATGGCTTCCGGTCTCCCCAGCAGAGTGGATTTAAAAGCAGCAGCGAGCGGAGGAATCACTAATAAATGTGAGTATTGGGTTTTAACTTACTTTAAATTAACTAACGTCACACACGTCAAACCCAAGGGGCATTAAAACGTACATTTTCGTTAAATAATACGGATACATGTGACGCTAATTAGCTAGCTGGACGTACTGCACTGTTGTTTACACTTATTTTTTATTCAATTCAGAAGTTTACTAAAGTCATACAGAGATCTTGGCTCTGTTATAGATAAGTTATACTTTATATTACATACATAGACCAAAGTGAAAACATTTAGACCGATATAGCCTACAGTACGGTGGGATTTATAAAACGCTACCCTGACGTGTAGCTGCTGTTAGCTTTATTTATTTCTCTGACATGTTCCAATGTTTTACTGTTTATTAAACTTTGGGACAACATTACAACCTTTTTATTCAGCTCATGCTGCTTTGAGGTAGAGCAAAAAAAAAGCCTATTTTCCACCAGATTTGATCATCTTTTATTTAGGTTAAAGTGTATTTAATTTATCCTGATCCCATAATAATAATAAGACAATCACAAATAGACAGCAGCCTTTTGCTTAATGTTGGTTTGTGCCGTGCTGTCAAAGGGATGCACGTGTGACTGTCATTTCATCTCTTTAGTTTTAAAAAAAACCAGAACAGTACATCATTTTAAATGATCCTTTAGGGATTGTTTGTCTGAAATGCTGAGTTTCATTTTGCAATAATATTTCTGCAACCCTGTGTCTAATATGATTAATTCACTTTTTATTTTTCTCTTGTTTTTCTCTGTAATTAGGAAAATTCTGGAGAAATGGATCTGCTGGAGAAGGGCCCCTAATCTGAAAAGTGCACAGCGGATCATCAGGACAGAGCTGCCATCCACCTGGACCCCCCGAGGTGCTGGAGAAAGCAAAACGGCGATCAGGAGCATCCTCCACCCAGACCTCTGCTTACTGCCGTCCTACAGACTTGTGTCTTACTTTCAGAATTTGATTTTGTATGTGTCCTTTCTTTTAATAGATATTTAACGATTATAGCTTGAGTCTGTCTGATTCCCCAAACAGCTGCTTCTATATACTTGCTGCACATACAATACAAATAAACAACTCCATAAACACACTTTTGCTGATATGTGTGTTACTGCTGGTGATGTTAAATAACATGATTGATTTCCTCTGTCTCAATGATGAAAGTTATAATAATAGAAGACATGAAGCTGCAGAGAGAGGATGGATATATTCTTACCTCTACTTTGTGATGAGATGAAAATACAATATTAAATTGTAATTGTTAAACACATTGTTTATTTCATTTACTGAGGTTTTAACCATTATTTACAACATGTGTACATAAGCAGTGGAATAATAGGGTATCTCTAGGTCATTAAACTGTCTTCAGTTTAATTTGATTAATACAAAAAAAAAGGTCATAGAAAATGTTTAATTGTGTATTTCAGCAGAGCGGGGGGTCACGGTGCTGCTGGACCTGGAGGTGCTGACCTGGTGTCAGTGGGACATCATCTGGGCAGGGTTAGGGGAAGAAGGGGAATATAAACTGTTATAATCACAGCTATTAAGATTAGAACACTACTATTGTTGACAATCAATCTATACAACATGCTTTTGTTCATTTAAAAAAACATTGTTTTATTAGTACAGAAAAATTAAGACTTATTTTAAATATGAAATAATATGATTAAATTATATCAGCTATTTATAATTTACTTGTTAACTTACTAATGTAACATTACTGGGGGCTAAAGGAACAGCTTCATCGTATTTACCTGGCCATGGTCCTCTTTAATTGATCGCTGACGGTGATCTCCAAAAAAAATGTAAAAGTAAAGTTTCTGGATCATTTTCAGCTGAGTTAGAATTTGCTAGCAGGCTGCTGGAGCAGCGCAACCGAACAGCGCGTATCACGTGACGTAAATACGAAGCCCTCCGTAGGCTAGACCGTCTCATTAGTGGGCCGCTCGGTCCAGCCTACCCGGGCTGGGTCCTCCGTGGACCGTGTAGGCTGCGTACCCCGAAGGATACAACTCCTGAATTGAGACACGGCCGCAGTGAAGTGGTTTGCCAGTAAACCCAAAGCAGACGAAGTGACGTCAGCAGCTCATTTGCGTAATCTTCCCTCAGGGAATTTATTCCGGTGTGAACGCGATCTGTAAGTGCCCTGGGGTAATAAGTGCCGGCACTAAGTACGGCAAAGTACTTGGTGTGAATGCGGCTATTAGCCACCAAGTACCAATGATCCCTCGCTCTACGCCTCCTGTACCTGTTTGCTCTGCTATCGCGTGAAGGGTCTGCTAACAAGCGACAAACAGAGGAGTCACATGTTGTTGCACATCAGTCATGCGCACTTCTGCGCTGTAACCCCGCTGCGAGGCCCTGGAACCAATGCGGTTCCAGGGCCGGTTCGGAGCTAGAGCCTGATAAGCACCGGTGACGTCATGCAGCAGCACCAGTCGGTTGTGCAGAGCAGTTAGTAAAACAGTAGAAACACTTTCGCAAGCAAAGGAGAAGAAGAAAAACTGAAGCCCTTAAAGTCAAAAGTGTATAATATCTACCTGTAAATAATAATAAAAACCCTTGATTTATAACTTAACATCTCCGTCTCCTATTGATCTGAGTATATTATAAAGAATAGCCAGTTAATTGAAGCATTATAGCACAGGCCTTTGTCAGATGGTTTATTACGCTGTTTTTTTTCTGCTTCGAATAGTTCTCTCTTTTTTCACCATACCTGTGTTTGCATCACTGTATATGACTATGCATGAGATGTATTAGTGGGAAATGACATGCCCAGCTCCCCTGTGTTTAGGTGCAGGGTGTGAGTGAGGTGGCGAGTGATGCAGGGATTGTGGAGAGCATCACACTGAAGAACTTCATGTGCCACTCTCACCTCGGCCCATTCACTTTTGGTTCAAATGTGAACTTTGTTGTTGGCAACAATGGAAGTAAGTGAAATACAAGTTAAATACTCATTGTTGTGAACTGTTTATTAGTTGCCAAGAAGTGCTGACTATCTTGACTCATCTATAATTTAGTTGGAATACTTTAAGTTTGTTTATGTAGTTCACAATCATACCAGACATATGTTGGCAAGATTATGAATGATGAGCAAGTGAATTGAGTTGCATCATCTCCACACTAATCGATATTAAACAGTTTAATATAATCGTTTGTGGTGGATGTAGCTTGTCTTTCTGTACATTAATAATACAATATGTTTAACACTGTCTGCTCTCTTGTATTCATGAAAATCAGACGTATTTCTGTAAACCTATGATATGCATATAATGAATTATCTACTTTGCCCTAAATCTTTGTAATGGCTTGAACCTAAATCATGTATTTCAACTCAAGCAACACACTCTGTTCTCTTGTGTCTTATTTTCCATTATGTTCTTGCTTTTGAAAGTGTCTAAAACATGTTTTGCTGCTTGTGTGACAGGTGGAAAGAGTGCCGTTCTGACAGCTCTCATAGTTACCCTAGGCGGTAATGCACATGCCACCAACAGAGGATTGTCCCTCAAAGGATTTGTAAAGGAAGGAGAAAGGTATAAATAATTTACTCTTCTCGTCCGTATCCCCCAACGTCCAGAAATTCTAGTATAAACAAATATTCCATGAATTTGCTCTATAGCACCACACATATCATACCACATCAAATGTCTTTTGTCTACTACTCATGTCATACATATGACATTTTTCATAACGTCGCATGCAAAAGTACCCTTAATTAAAAGTTGCATCCCTTGATTCACGTAGGTGTAATGTCCGTTACTCTCTTTCCTCAGTTCGGCTGATGTTTCGATCACCCTGCGAAACAAAGGAAGGGACGCCTTCAAATCTGAGGTGTACGGCCCAGCTATCACTGTAGACCTGAGAATAACACGCGAGGGGTTGAGAACCTATAAACTGAGGAGCAAATCTGGTAAAGATGACTCATTCTAAAAATTAGTATTTTTTTTGAAGATACTGCTGCTACTGTAGATTGATCTGCTACAACAACATGTATAGGAACAAGGTGCAAAAACAAAGGAAAATGAAACGTGTTTCAATATTACCAAGTAAAATACTACCGTAAGCAGCTTCAGTCTATATTATAAGGTATTCATAAAGATTATTTTTCCTCTTACAGGTCAAATTGTCTCAACCAAAAAGGAAGAGTTGCTCTCTATCCTGGACAATTTTAACATACAGGTAGGAGCTATGCAAATCTTACACAATGCAATGTTGTTGAACTTCAACAAAATGCAAATTCTGTACGATAACCATGTTACTGGGTCTTTCAAAGGTCAACAACCCTGTTTCTGTTCTCACTCAAGAGATGAGCAAATACTTCCTACATTCCAAAGGGGAAGGGGACAAGTACAAGGTAACTAGAAAATGCATTTCCTGCAGAAAATGCGTGCGAATGCTGTAAACTGTGAACATGTATGGCTGAAAATGCAGAAAAAGCTGAATATGTTATTAGCTGAATGGTAGCTGCTTTTAGCTCCACAAATGCAGAAAAAGCTTAACCTGTTAGGCCCCAAGCCTGTTTTTCAGGTTTCAGGCCCTTCTAAAGGGGTTAAATTAATAATCTTTTTTCTCAAAGTAATGATAAACCTGTGAGTTGGATGTAGAAAAGTCAGAATCAATATAGATGTTTTTTATTTTAATTCAGATTGAACATGGTAAAAAACTGTAAATTATAGTGTCCGTCCAAAAAATATTTTGTACTTATAGTTAAAACTAACCTTGGATGATGGGTTAGTAGACTAAAAGCTTTAGGAATCCAAAGTACAACATATAATAAGTACCCTGTATCAAGATTGATGCAAAACAAGTGATATTTGACCTTTTTAGACAGATTTAGCAAAAAAAAACCTCTTCTGGGGCCATTTGGGTGGATTTTCCATATCTCTGGCCCCCCTTGTTAAAATGCTTCAATCTGGTGCACTTTATGCAGAATTACTAGGGACTAGATCTAGGGGGTACAACTCTAAACACCCATATGAAAAAGATTGGTTTACATTTTAATAATTAAATAAGTATGTGAACATAACCAATAACCTAGCATAGCCAATAACAAATACATGTAACATATTTTATTTTTGTTGTTCATTCATATCTTATTTTACTATTATATTTATGCATATTTTTGTATCTCCAGTTTAAAACGATATGTCTGGTTTACTGTCCTATAGTATACATTGGAATGATTTCAAACCTGTTTTATCCCAATAATTATAAAGGAGTGCCTTGGAAATATGTGTTTACATAAATTGTGATCAAAACGTTTGAGACCCACTGTTACGTTCCCTCCTAACTAGGGGTACAAAGGGAAGTAATAAAACACCAAAATAACCAGGCGAGAGAAAAAGGAGAGGAAACTGTCTACTGAAGCCACAAAGTGAGGTTTTAATGGACAAAAGAAAAAGGGCTCACCAGCCAACTTGCAGAGCAAACTAAAAATAAACAATACACAAAAAGGTAACCTGGAGAACATCTAACAATTCACAAGAACACAGGCCTCACACAGAGACAGAGACATGATGCACACATGCAGCCAGAGGAGAAGGAGAGCGCGACTGCAGCCTTCCTCAGGTCCTTTATGGAGGCCCTGATTGAGGATTGGGAGCACCTGGGGACAATCAGGCTGCACCTGGGGAATCAGAGGGAGAGAGAAAAAGACACACAAACGCTACGGCACGTAACACCCACTGAGATAACTTAGACTAAAGTGAACTATCTAAACACTCAAGAGTCCTTTACCTCACTGAGCTGTAGTTATCAGCCTCAGTCCGACTGGAGAGGACTCTCCCTCCACATCATTGTAGAAACATCTTCTTCTAATATCCGTTAGAGCAGCTAGCACCAGATGCTAATAACAACAGCGCGTACCGGTCCCTCTCTCCCTCGCTCGCTCCCACGCTCACTCACACTTTGGCTGTGAGCTGCGGGTGCCAGATAAGCCAACATCCCCCATTTTCATCACTTACAGCGTCCATCGTACAGCGCAAATGAAAAGTGTAACCGGGATGAAAAGGGTGTTACATTTACTTAATTATGAATGTTGTTACATCAAGGCTGAAAATTAGGATGAGCACCAACGGTCAAAAAAAATAATAATTTCCTCCCAGAGCTGTCAGCGCAGCGCCTCCACATATCTGGCGCCCTAGGCGAACATCGATAACGCCAGTGCGACGGGCCGGCCCTGGTCTCAGGTTACGCTGTAGGAAGTGTAGGTACAACCATAGGGTACAACCATAGATATATATAAACCTATGATATAAACACGTGTGTATATCATGGTTTATATATCTATGTGGGTACAACGCTACATTTCCAAACAGCATTCGCACTAATAAGTAATAATTTTTTAAATAACGTAAATAATGTTTTTGTGATCTTGATTTCTCCACTTTTGTTTTTATTTCATTCCTCTTTCAGTTTTTCATGAAATCTACCCAATTGGACCAGATGAGAGAGGACTTTGTGCACATCAAAACCACCAAGCGTATCACAGAAGAAAAAGTTGAGCAACATGGTCAAGTAAGAAAAAGTTTGATTGACTCGTATAATATGCAGCTATAACCAATAATTCACAATGTCTCAAAGGACCATGTGAGAGGAATTAACTATAATGAAGCAGTCCTATACTGTTAATCATTTGTACAACTTTGTTTGGTTGGTCTACTACTCTATTTGACCAGCAATATATATATATATATTACCATTTATATTGTTACAGTACTTGAAAGACTTGAAGCAGAAGTACCTGGAGAAAGAGGAGCGTTTCAAGAACCTGTCATCATTGGATGAAATGGAGACCAAACTAGAGGAGTTGCAGAATCAAATGGCTTGGGTTTTGGTGAGATCATTTCTCCCAGTTTTGAATTCCCAACCCCCTTTATTCAGTATCCCAGGACTCTGGGATATAAGCAATTATTTTTGAAAGGGTAATTCATCTAGCTAATATTTTGGAGTGACTTCATTTTGCAGGTGCAAGATATGGAGAATGAGTTGAAGCCATTAAAGGAGAAGCTGCAATCAGACAAACATTCTACGGAGAAATACGATGCGAAGGTGGAAGAATGGAAGGTAGGATATTTCTGTATTATTCACCGCAGAATTAGTTGTGTGATCTTGAGTGATTTCAATTAAAAAGCTTCTGTTTAAACATGAACACCGCAACTTTGTACTTGTCCATGCGAAGCAATCTTCTGTCCTCTCACTTTTTTACCGCCCTATTTCTCTGATCTGTTTTTATGTCATGATGCAGAATAAGGTCGAAGAGGCTGAGGGGAAATACAGACAGATCGAGGAAAGGTTGGAGGGAATCACACAACAAGTCCAGGAGCTCCAGCCCGAATCTGCTCAGCTCAAGTCTGAGGCTCGGGGAAAAAATGCCGTGTTGAACTCCAGTGAGGTAAGAGTACAGACAAAACACTGTACTGACAATTGGTACATTCACTTTCATACCAGTACTGGAAGTGATTTAAAGTTGTTAAACAGTGCTGAAATATATATCCATAGCAGCAACGGTCGTTCCCCAGCAAATCAGGTAGTTGTGAACAAGAAAGTAGGGGAACGGTTTATCGATAAATTACTACGGCAAAGCCCGCCATTTTAATCAACAGCTTACAATTCCAGTACTGACATGTTTTATTTGTGTAATGTGGTCCAGATGGACTCAACTTAAAACATTGTGAAGATGTCTACCACCATCAAAAGTTGAGTATTATCATCGTGACTTGTAAACTGACCCGTGTTTCTACTTCTGGATTCTGTGATTGTGCTAGGTCACTGTTCACAGGTGCAGGGCTCACTTGAGGGACCTGGAAAAGGACAAAGCTCAGCTGTCCTCAAGAATAAATGTTCTCAAGCTGAGGTATGACCTCATCTTGTAAAAGGATCTTCTGTGCTGCGTTCAAGTCAAAACATGGGTTTTTCTTTGCTCCTTAAAATATCATGGTCATCTTTTTTTCCTTCTTCTTATCCCTCCAGCATTACTCAGAAATCAGGAGCAGAGAGCCAGGACAGAATGGAGCGTGTGGAGCAGCTAAAGGCCGAGCTGGAAAACATGAACCACCAGACCTCCACGCTCGAACAGCAGATTGACCAGTATCGGCACGCATGTAGCCGCGCCACGGAGGAGCAAGGGAAAATGAAGTAGGGGAACAAACACTACATTATGTCAGTACAGTTGTGTTGTTTCCAGTGGTAGCTAAATAAGCCCCTGGCACTGGTCTGTCAGTTGATTTTAAAGCTGGAGTAAATGTATATACATTTTGGAATAGGATATCTTTTGCAAATCATACTATTATGTGAATCCATCCATTAGCCCTTCGGTTCTGTCAATGCTTCTGATAAATAATGATAATAAAAATATTAGCTCCTTCTGGCCCTGGAGTAACATTTGTGAAGTGGTAACAGCCTAACATAATGACCTCCTTTTGTCTCCAGGAGAGAGCAAGATGTGTTTCAGAAGTCCATTGACGCCAACAGAAGGAACCTGCAGAACATGGAGAGCAGTCGCTCCAATCGCCTGCGGCGTTTTGGAGAGCACATGCCCGCACTCTTGACCGCCATCGATGAGGCTGGCAGAAAGGGACAGTTCAGGCAAAAACCCAGAGGACCTCTGGGTAAGACTTTGGTCTCGGTTGTTAATGGGCATAGATGTTCCAGGACTGTTTCATTTCTCAGTGATATACCCACCAGGTGGACCATTCTGACTTTGCTTCTCTTTTCAAATGTCCTTCTCCAGGTCACCTTATCCGCCTGAAAGACCCGGAGCTGGCTCTGGCTGTGGAAGTGTGTCTGAAAGGCCAGCTGCAGGCCTTCACATGTGATAACCACGACGACGAGAAGGTGCTGCAAGGCCTCATGTCCAAAGTTTGCCCAAATGCCCGTAGACCTGCCATCATCACTAGCCATTTCCTCCCACGTGTCCATGACACAAGATCACGGTGAGGTTATATACCAAAACATACATTAAACACCAAGAAAACCATACAATGAGGATCCTCCTACACAGAGAATAGAGCGTTAGTCAGCTTGAACTAAAGGTAGTCACTAGGGCTGTGCGATTATGGCAAAAATCATAATCACGATTATTTGGGTCAATAATTGATATCACGATTATTTTGACGATTATTCATTGACCATTTATTGAACTTTAAAACAAATAATATTTTACCAATAAACAAGATCAACAAATATGTTGAAGCGCTCTTCCAAAACCATACTAAACATATTATTCTTATGATAAATAAAAATAAATTGGACCAAAATGAATTAAATCAAATATGTTGCAGTGCACTGTCACAACCTACTGAAAACTCCTTAACATATAGCCAACATGTTGGTAAAACATATTCAACATATTCCACTCAGTTAAACGTTGAAGGCTGGCCAACCGTCATGGTCCAGAAGTAAATAAATGTTGAACTACAATTTAAGACCAAATAAAAAGGTTTTGGCCACCATGGCAAATGCTTAAAGATTTTTTGCAAGAAACACCAGCCTGTTTACATGGTCTGGTTTCAGAGATGAGCGCAGGCAGGTGACAATATTGCCATATGTACTGAAGACCCTCTGAAGAGGAACTTGTGGCAGTGCTGCCACATATGACACAGGAAAAAAAGAAAAGACTCTGAACCCTTTCTTTGCCATTATATAAAAATAGTGTTGCTATAAAAGTATAAATTAGGCTTACTAATAAGACAACTCAGATCTGAAGCTACACGGGAATCTGCTGCCAAAGTGCAATAAAAAAGACAAAATTAATAGAATCAAACCCTTTTTTTGTTGCATTTTATTAGAGTATACAAATAAATGCCTTTTTAAAAATAGGATGCAAGCAACACTAGTTTCTTAACCTGAATTGATAATAGACTATAATCAATTTAAACAGAACAGATCTTAATGTTTGCATTCTAGGGGTGTAACGGTTCACAAACATTTCTGTTCGGTACGTACCTCGGTTTTTAGGTCACGGTTCTGTTCGGTACGTTTTCGGTACAGCAGAAAAAAATTTGTTTTTATTATTAAACTGTGAATAATGTATTCACTCAAATAAATACAAAATAAAATAAACATTAAGGTGCGGCATTTCGATGAGCTGAAATAATCTGTATTTGAACTTTACTGTACTAGTAGGCTATTCACAAAACATAAACTATTAGTTTGGGGTTTTTAATTATTATTAAACTGTGAATATTCACTCAAATAAATAAAAAATAAACATTAAGGTGCAGCATTTCGATTAGCTGAAATAATCTGTATTTGAACTGTACTATACTAGTACCTAAGCAGCCAGTTTGACATAATGACTTGCTTGCTTGTCATTGTATTCATGTTGTTTAAAGAAAGATGAACTTGTCCACATTGCTTGCCGAAAGGGCAGATCTGCTGGCACTAACAATGTCTCCTGCTGTGGAGAACACCCTCTCGCTAGGGACAGAGGTAGCCGATACAGCCAGGTAGCGCTTTGCTAACATGGCAACATAATATATGATATTTGGCGTTTGTAATAGCTTTGGCTCGGTCTGAAGTTTTTGCGAGTGGTGGAGGCTTAAATGCTAGTGGGAGTTGGGTTTGCACTTCAGTCTTTTTTCTTTTGGTACTGGTGATATTCACGTTCCGGTGATACCTTTTCAAATGAGTGTGCAAGTTTGATGTATTGCCAGCCGCGTAACCAATTTTAGTTGAAAAATGCCGACAAACAGCTTTGGTTCGGTCCACCTGTCTTTGTCCGTCATCCTTGTACGTAACTGCGAAACTAAAATGTTCTCAAACCGGAGACTTCAATGATGCTGGAGGATTTTTGAGCTCAACTTTATTTGCGTTCGCCATTTCGACAGTTCCTCAAATTACTGACTAAATTTGAACGCATCCCTGTGACCAGCTCTCATAGTATGCCTCTCGTCAATCAATCAATCAATCAATCAATGTTTATTTATATAGCCCAATATCACAAATGTTACATTTGTCTCAGTGGACTTTACAGTTTGTACAAAATATCAGTATGACAATACGACACCCTCTGTCCTTAGACCCTCACATCGTACAAGGAAAAACTTCCGAAGAAAACCCACAGTTTAAAGGGAAAAATGGGAGAAACCTCAGGGAGAGCAACAGAGGAGGGATCCCTCTCCCAGGACGGACAGACGTGCAATAGATGCCGTGTGTAAATTGAAAAGATAATACATTTGCAACATAGGTAGTCCAAATGTTTGGAAATGCATGTGTGTATAATAGGAAGATGAATCCACGAGGATATCCATCCAGGACCTATGATCCAGGACCACAACCACGACTCAAGATCCAGGGCTCGCGATCCAGGACAGAGGAGCGCAGGATCATCCATGACTCCGGATCCCGGCGTATATAGACACCAAAAAGAAAGACATTTGGGGAAGCTGGGTTAATCGGAACATGAGAGTACACAGGTATAGACAGAGAGAAGGAAGAAGTAAGATGTCCCCCGACAAACTAAGCCTATATCAGCAAAACTAGGGGCTGAATCTAATCAGCCCTAACTATAAGCTTTATCAAAAAGGAAGGTCTTAAGCACACTCTTAAAAACGGATAGGGTGTCTGCCGCCCGAACACAAACTTGAAGCTGATTCCACAAATGTGGAGCTTGATAAGAAAAGGCTCTGGCTCCCATTGTACTTTTAGAGACTCTAGGAACAACCAACAACCCTGCATTCTTGGAACGCAATGCCCTAGTAGGACAGTAGGGTATAATGAGTTCTTTAAGGTAAGATGGCGCCTGCCCATTAAGGGCTTTGTAGGCGAGAAGAAGAATTTTAAATTCTATCCTGTGTTCTATAGGGAGCCAGTGTAAGGCAGCCAGAACAGGAGTAATGTGGTCCCTTTTCCTAACTCTGGTTAGTACACGAGCCGCAGCATTTTGAATCAGCTGAAGCGACTTGACTGACTTCTTGGTACACCCTGATAATAAAGAGTTACAATAATCCAGCCTTGAAGTAACAAATGCATGGACTAGTTTCTCTGCATCGTTTTGAGGCAAGATATGCCTGATTTTTGCAATGTTACATAGATGGAAGTAGGCGGTCCTTGAAATTGATTTGATGTGGGCGTTAAAGGATAAATCCTGATCAAATATAACACCAAGATTCCTTACAGTCTCACTGGAGGCCAAATTAATGCCATCCATAGTTAGTATATCCTTAGATAATTTGTTTCGTAGATTCTTCGGGCCAAGTACAATAACTTCAGTTTTGGTCGTGTTTAACATCAAAAAGTTTAAGGTCATCCACGTTTTTAAGTCCTTAAGGCAGTCTTGAATTTTATTTAGATGATTAATTTCATCAGGCTTGATTGATAAATATAGTTGAGTATCATCCGCATAACAATGAAAGTTTACAGAATGATTCCTTATAATATTGCCTAACGGAAGCATATATAATGTGAACAAAATAGGTCCGAGCACTGAGCCCTGTGGCACTCCATGGCTAACTTTGGTTTGCGTGGAAGATTCATCATTGACACGTACAAACTGAGAGCGTTCAGATAGATAGGACCTAAACCAGCCTAAAGCAGTTCCCTGTATGCCAACTAAGTGCTCTAGTCTTTGCAATAAGATATCATGGTCGATAGTATCAAATGCAGCACTGAGATCGAGCAAAACAAGAATAGAGACACGTCCCTTGTCAGAGGCTATTAGAATGTCATTTGTGACTTTAACCAGAGCTGTCTCTGTGCTATGATGTGTTCTAAAGCCAGACTGAAAAGCTTCAAATAAATCATTGTTTTTTAAGTAATCACACAACTGTTTTGCGACCGCTTTCTCAAGAATTTTTGAGAGGAACGGAAGATTGGAAATAGGTCTATAATTGGCTAAAACCTCTGGATCGAGGTTGTGCTTTTTAAGAAGCGGTTTTATCACTGCTACTTTGAATGATCGTCCAATTAAATGACTTGCTCGCTCTATGATGCGTTGAACCCAATGTGAGCAAATTACTCTGAATGCTGCGACGCAGCACCTGAGATTACTTCCAAAAAGTTGTTCACGTTCTCAATTTCTTATGTTTAACGTTATATTCGTTCGGTACACTTCGGTACACACGTGTACCGAACCGAGGGGCCGTACCGAATAATTTCGGTACGTGTACCGTTACACCCCTATTGCATTCTTATACCATTGTGTACAATAATTATAATGAATAAGTTCAAACAAACTAAAACTTACATCTGATTAATAACGGTATCTAACTTGAGTTTTTATTATATCAAATACCTGTTGAAATGCTACTGTTATTTTTACTGTCCCCAAAAAGCGCGTCGCAGCCTCCAGGAAAGCTTCTTTCACAACTTCGCCGTCTTTGAAAGACTTCATGTGTTTCGCTAGAACGTGACTGACACGATAAGATGCTATGGTAGCAGCCTTGCTCTTGTTGTTGGGCCTGGTGAAAATGGACTGCTGTGCATTTAGCTGTCCTTTCAGGCCCCTCCCCTTTTGGGAGCGTAGGGCAGAATTAGGAGGGAATTCCGTCTCGTAGCGTTTGTGCACTGTTTTGAAATGCTGCTCCTAAATTACCCTTCTTCAATAAAGCCACACTCGCATTGCAGATGAGACAGATGGACTTTGAATTGGAATAGATACAAAAAATAATCATCCTCCCACTCGGAGTGAAAATTATATATTTTGGGCTTTTTGGCTTCTGCCATAATTGCGGTCTTGTGTGTGTGCGGACTGTCACTCCTGTTGACAAGGACAACGTCAGCGAAATAGTCCACTGCCCACCAGCCACGCCCCGACACATGGGGTGACGCCGGCCAATCACAAAGCTTTGATGCGTTCAAGTGCATTATTCTGGCACAGGAAGATTATGTTACAGGACATTAACGATAAAACAGAATATTGTTGTTCTATTTTTAGACACATCTCGCGATCGACTGGTTGGGCACCCCTGGGCTAGACCATAGGTCCGTTGTGGTGGCAAAGTAGCCAGCTGAAGCCACATCTCTCTCAACTTCCCCACGGCATTTGTCATATAGCGCAGGCAGCGCAGACCTGCTGAAATAATACCGAGACAGCATCGCGTAACGCTTGTCCAACGTGTTGACAAGTTGCTTAAAGCCCTGGTTGCTAACAGTGCTAACTGGGCACATATCTTTAGCGATGTGAAATGTAATGGCACCTGTAATATCTCTGTCTCTGCGAGCTCGTCGCGTAGGCCGTTGCTCTGTAAAATGCGTCCTGAATCGATGACTGTGATGATGTGGTGGATGAAGTCGAGTGGGCATCTGCTTTTTGGTCTGCTTTTTGTTGTATTATTGCCCGGTCGTATTGCACTTTGTGGTTGTATTTCAGATGATTAAAGAGATTGGTTGTGTTAGCGTGTGGTGCCAACACAACCTGGTAACAAATCCTGCACTGTACTTTGTTTTGCTCCACGTCGGACTCCTGAAAGCCAAAGTACTTCCGAATAGTGGAAATAGTTTTACCCTTCTTTTTAACGAGTTGCTGCTCTTGTTCTGACATCTTCGCTCGCGCTGAACACTCACAACACATGTCACTCCCACGTGGCCAAGTGGGCTTTTAGGGAGGGGCGAAAGCGCACCCAGCAAAATAATCGTATTATACTGTTTTCATAATCGTCGCAAGCCGTAATCGCGATTAAAATACGATTAATTGCACAGCCCTAGTAGTCACAACGTTCTCCTGTAATACACATATTCCTAACAAACACAACCGGTCTACACCAGAGCTACAGACAGGAAGGCAGTGCACTGTATCTAGCAATGTTTGCGGAAATAGAATGACATTATTAAACGCAAAGAGAAACTGATTGGATGTGTGTTAATTAACATGAAGTATCACTTTTTAATTAACAGTGGTTTGTTTTGTCTTTGTGTCAGGGCCGTGAATCACCCCGAGTTCCCGTCCGTGCTTCACTCTCTAGAAATTGAGGACCCTGTCGTTGCCAACTGTCTGATTGATCAACGGGGCATAGAGAGCATCCTGCTCATTAAGGTGACCACATTCCCAGTGGAACCATTAGAAAGTCCCAATAACCTAAGATTATTCAGTATTTAGCCATGTACTTGACGCTGATATGAACGATCTACAAAGAACGTTTTGATAATGTTTCTTTATGATGTAATACAACATACCATGATGTTATTTTAAGCTATTTAAGACGTGTGTGCTTAGTAGTTGATCCTAGATCATTACCCCTATAACCCGAGTACATATGCAGCATTTCTGGCTAATGAACAACATTTTGTGTGTGGTTGTGTAGAATCAAACAGACGCTCGGCGAGTGATGCAGGGCGGCGCCCCTCCTCGGAACTGTTCCCAGGCCTTTTCAAAGGACGGAGATCAGGTCTTCAATAACCGCAGTTACTCTGCTGAGCAGACTAGAGCCAACTACCTCTCTGGAGATGTAGAGGAGGAGATCAGGTGTGTGTGTGGATGCAGTGAGACAGAATGTACCTGATGAGTCCAGCTGTAGATATATTTGGTCCCATGGGGCTTGTTGTATTTAGAAAGCCAAAGTAGATGATGGATTTTTTTATCTACAATCATTGTGATATACACTATGAGTAGTTGTTTTTAACTTCTGCCTTAACACCGTTTTTGTCTCTTGGATCCTCTCTTCTCTCTCAGGCACTTGCAGAAGGAGTTGGAGAACCAGGAAGCTCAGGCAACACGTTTCCAGCAGCAGATGGGGAAGTTGGATGACGACGTCAAACAGAACGATGGGCTGCTGAGAAGGGCCCAAGTGGAGGAGAGGACTATCAAAGTAAGTATTTGTGCGTGTGTGTATATAAATAATAACAACACAATTCTAAATCAAATCAGTAGCAATCCCAATGTTTGAATGAATCTGTATTTTCTTCAGAACAAGGCCGCAAAGATCAAACTGGAGCTGTCGGAGCTACAGAATGTGGAAGAGCCTCAGTCAGAGGACCTCAATCCCCTGGTTTGTACAGACGACACAATGCAGTACAATAATCCGATTAGCTTACGTCGTACTCATCTCAGTTGATAAACATATGGAATTATGACTTTGAATGGGTATTCAAGTCATAATTCGGTCATCACTTTTGGCACACTTTCACAGGAAGAAGAGCTTCAAGAGATCGTATCTAAGATCTCGTCGAAGTATGCAGAGTGCGACGAGGCACAGGCTCAGATGGCTGATTGCAAGGCGGCCTATGAGAAGGCAGAGCAGAAGTACAAGCAGCACAAAGAGCAGATCTTCACGGCCGCAGAGGATGCAGAGCATGTCAAGGTAATACTTACAGTGGCGACTGGTCATTAGGGGCACAGCCCCACCTAGTGTCAGCAGCAAGTATTACAAATAATGATTACAACAAAATGCAAAAAATAAATTAAAAAATATATAAAATATATTTTAAGATCATGTTTAATCATCTGATTCGTCTGTACATTGCTGTTTTAGTCTGTGTTCTTCTAATTAGTGTCTACAGTGTGTGCCTATTGAGCTGTTTAGAGCCATGTGGGACAAAACCCGATCCTGCCCCTCCCTCTCTCTGTCTAAGTGAACGGTGACTGTAACAACTACACTGCGCATGCTCAGAATATTTTCCTATTTAATGTGTGTGGCAAAAAAATAATGACCATAGGGGCATAGAGCTGCCATCCCCACCATACGTCATCTCACATAATTCAGAGCTGATTGGCTGTAAGTACGTGTGCCGCGAAAAGTGTGGTGTGTGAAGAGGAGACGAGAGAGCTGCAGTGAGGCGTCCTAAAACCCGGAAGTAAGCTGTGCATGGCTTCCCTCGACAAAAAAGCAATGAGATTTCTCCATAGGATTTTAGAAAATAGCTCCAAATAAGGTCTGTGGGAAACGTAGCTGTTAGATAAATGCACGTTTTGTTCAGCCAGATAATATCCACATGTCTACCCTACTTTTCTAATTTTCTAATCATAAATCTATTGATTAGATTAGATTTATGATAGACTTTTGAAACTACAAGAACATAAGGAGGACTTTTACAAAAAAGTAATAGAGATTTTTGTCCAGAGGGATAGGCAAATGGACTTCAGCTTCAAGTCAAGGTAAGACTGCAATTTTATTGAAAATGGGATCTTACTGAGAGAGAACAATTCAATATTTAAATGATAAAATTACATTTTTTGGGTATCCTTCTGTTGAACTGTCTGTTTAAAATGAATTGAAGCATCAGACAAAAAAAGCTTTTGAAAATAATATTATATTTTGATTTAGGTCAAAATATAATATTTGTAAACCTGAAGAGTCAGTGCCAGTGCCTCACCAGCCATGAACCTCACTGCAGAAGCTTATATATAGACATCTAAGTTTCTTGTGCCCCACCACTTTTGTACATATAATAACGCCACTGAATACTTAAGACCAAGATCAGGTGACAAAGATAAACAAGTGATTGGAATCCTTCAACCTTAACTTGTGGAATGCCCAAATCATGTCAAACTTGTGAAACGTTTGTATTAAGTAAAAAGTATCCAATTCAAATGAGGTTTTATCGTAACACCATCCTCGTGTACTGGGTGAATCTCATGCGTTATTCTTTCTGTGCTCTTCCTTTGGTCCCTTTACAGGACGAGCTGAGTAAGACCGATCAGGACGTGGGCAAGTGCAAGCATCACAAGAAACACTACGACGAGAAACGCACTGCACATCTCCGCAGCATACAGGCGCTCGAAGGCAACCTAGAGAGCAAGGAGCAGGAACTACAGGTACACTAAACTGAGACACAAAGAGCAACTTGAGACAGAGGCAGACATTTAAATAAGATTTTTTTTTAAATCATGTTTTTTTTGTCGGTTTTCAGTAGACATTATAGAGTGGGTCCAGGAATTAGATCAGCTAAATATTACTCCATCTTAAGCACACTTGGCTTAACTGTGGAAAGCATTTGCAATTTTCAGACAAAATCAAATACTTTTTAATTTAAAATCTGTTTCACACTTTGTTTTTTAATGCAATGTTGAATAACTATGCATTCTGAATCTTAGATTTAGTTCCTTCTAGTATCTTCTGCATTGAATCTCAGAAGCCTTTTTTGTTGTTCACCCTGTGATTTCAGACGTCTGTGGCCAAAGCCACCGAAATCTGTCCGGAGCGAGTGGAGGTACGAAGGACAGCCAGGAGTCTGGACAACGAGATCAGCCGTCTCAAAGTGAAGATCAGCACCCAGCAGAGGCAGCAGGGGAACCGTGACGAGGTAGTGAGGTATGTGAAGAACACCCTGATCATTAAAATGCAATGATGTAGTGTCATGCCACTTTATTACTTTAACACGACCGGCTGTTGTCTTGTCTTGCATTAAATCAAATAAATTCAATCTCTGTTGCTTTCTTCCGCTTGTCTTTCTCTCCAATCACTAGGCAGTATCATGAGGCTCTGCAGAACTACAAGAACATGGCAATGCAAATGAAAAACCTAAATGGCTTCATCCAATGTCTCGATGGTGTCATGAACCAGAGACTCCAGGTGTACTCTGAGCTCAGGAGGTCAGTTGGAGACAAATTGTGTCCAGGAAAAATTATTGTACGCTTAACTTAAAAGCGAATACATTTATTTCATGTTTCTCTTCACCCTCACTGTTTCTTGGTTCCTAGATTTATTATCATGCTGTCATCTTTCCTTCTTTGTCCATTTGCTCACGTTTTTCTCTGCGTCCTCTAGGTTCCTCTCGGCCCGCTGTAAATATTACTTTGACAGCACACTGGCCCAGAGAGGCTACACTGGAAGTATGACCTTTAATCACAAGAGTGAAACCCTCTCTATCTCAGTAAGTTCATCACTCAGTTCACACCAGAGCAACTAAACAATATAGCAGCATGGCTAAAGTCTAAATGAGACCACTTTCATCTTTTTCTTTGATTGTCTAAAACATGAGACATTACTACATGCTACAGTTTTTAAACCACGTGATGTAAAAAGTGGTGTCCAAACTACGGCCCGGGGGCCATCAGCTAATTAAAAAAGTATAATGGAATATGGCCCACTAATGAAACTTGAGCTTGTCTTGAACTTCTTAAATATATCTGTAAACATATATTACACAGTAGTTTTCATGTGTTAATAAGCCCACTTTCAGTCAATTAAAGTTGAAAATATATTCTAAGTTGATAAGAAAAAAGCCCAATAACTTATTTACATAACAACTTTGAAATATACCCTTCCTATTTCCTCTTATGATAAGCAATCTGAGGCTCCTGTTTTAAGGAATGAGCTACTAACAAAATAAATCCAGAAAGCGACGCAGGTTCTGGTCCAGGCTCTCGTCATCTCACGCCTAGACTACTGCAACTCCCTCCTGGCTGGTCTACCTGCATGTGCCATCCGACCTCTGCAGCTCATCCAGAATGCAGCGGCTCGTTTGGTCTTCAACCTTCCTAAATTTTCCCACACCACGCCGCTCCTCCGCTCCCTTCACTGGCTTCCAGTAACTGCTAGAATCCATTTCAAGACAATGGTACTTGCATACCATGCTGCGAATGGATCTGGCCCTTCCTACATCCAGGACATGGTTAAACCATACACCCCAGCACGTGCACTCCGCTCTGCATCAGCCAAACAGCTCGCTGCACCCTCACTGTGAGGGGGACCCAAGTTCCCATCAGCACCTGGGTTTGCTATCCTGGCTCCAAAATGGTGGAATGAGCTCCCCATTGAAATCAGGACAGCAGATAGCTTACACATCTTCCGGGGGAGACTGAAAACTCATCTCTTTCGACTCCACTTCGAGCGATATAATTACTAACAAATAATTGCTAACAAAGCACTTATATACTAATAGGACTGGCTTATCCAAAGCCAGTTGAGTAGCACTTGAAATGTTTTAGCTCTATGAAACCTGATGTACTTATATGATTCTGTTTCTTCAAGTTTGTATCTTGTTGGTCGAACGCACTTATTGTAAGTCGCTTTGGATAAAAGCGTCAGCTAAATGTAATGTAATAATGTAATAATAAATGAAACCCTCTGGAGAGTTGTGATGTAGGCTGCTGTACCAAGCACAATTGACTTACATTTGATTGATTTAGCTAACTTATAACTTCACTTATGAGGCAATAAACCTCACCTCTAGTGAGTGGCCCAGCCCTTCGAATATCTTTCTGTATGTGGCCCTCGGTGAAAAAAGTTTGGCTTAGATCAAATGTTTTTGTTTGGCTTCTTCCCTCTGTAGGTGCAGCCAGGCCAGGGAAGCAGTGTGGAGTTGAGTGACATGCGCTCTCTGTCCGGAGGCGAGCGCTCCTTCTCCACCGTGTGCTTTGTGGTCTCCCTTTGGGCCATCACAGAGGCGCCTTTCCGCTGTCTTGACGAGTTTGATGTTTTCATGGTAATACAAAACCTATTTTGTTGATATTGCAAGTTTGTCTAGATAAGGTTGCACCGTGCCTAAATGGCATCTTAAAAATAGCATGGAATTACTATTTTAGGAAGGAGTTTGGAGAAAGTTCCTATGCAAGGTCTTGGCATTACATGAAATGGTCTCTATAGCCTTATTTATCAAAAGATAACATGAGTCTTGGTTTTCTTTAGGACATGGTGAACAGGAGGATCTCAATGGACATGATGCTAAAGGTGGCTTCCGGTCAGCGCTACAGACAGTTCATCTTCCTCACACCACAGAGCATAAGGTATTCACTGATTACATGTTTATATTAGGGCTGTCAGTCGATTAAAATATTTAATCGCGATTAATTGCATGATTGTCCATAGTTAATCGCAAATTAATCGCACATTTTTTATCTGTTCTAAATGTACCTTAGAGGAATATTTGTAATACTCTTATCAACATACGAGGGGACAAATATGCTTTATGCAAATGTTTATTATCATTTGAACAATGACAACAATTCTCATGAATATTAAACAACAACCTCTGAACATTACAAATATTCGCCTCAATTCAACCTGGAACCTCTCATACAATAATACTGTGTGTGTGTGTGTGTGTGTGTGTGTGTGTGTGTGTGTGTGTGTGTGTGTGTGTGTGTGTGTGTGTGTGTGTGTGTGTGTGTGTGTGTGTGTGTGTGTGTGTGTGTGTGTGTGTGTGTGTGTGTGTGTGTGTGTGTGTGTGTGTGTGTGTGTGTGTGTGTGTGTGTGTGTGTGTGTGTGTGTGTGTGTGTGTGTGTGTGTGTGTGTGTGTGTGCGCGCGCGCTGGATCGTTGGAGCTATTTGCAACTCAAGGCATATGCTCGAACGGGAGCTGCCTGGACGCTGCAATCATGTTGCGCGCACTATCCGAGCTGAGTGTGCTGATTTTTCGTACAATGTCCCACTGTCTGGTTACCTGCATAAAGTCAAGTGCTCGGCGCAGTTGTCGGCGAAATGTCACTCCTCTGTTTTCATTGAAACAGCTCCTTATATCCGTTAGCGCAGCTAGCTAGCACCAGATGCTAACAACAACAATACGCGTAAGGTCTCTCCCGGTCCTCCCGATGGCCAGTCAGGGAGTGTGGAAGTGTGGTCTGCAGCAAGCGGGCGGCAGGAGCGGGGCTGTCAGCATCAGCTTGTAGATGGTATTTTAAACTCGATGCGCTCTGAAACTACGGGGTGGCCGAGGACAAAAAATGCACATGCGTTAATCGCGTTAAAATAATTAGTGGCGTTAATTTTTGTTTGCGTTATTAACGCGTTAACTTGACAGCCCTAGTTTATATATTTGTATATCAAAGCAGTAGGACCACTCAAATATGATTTATTGACTTGGTTACTGTTGATATATTCTTAATAAATGAGCTTTGATTAAGTAAATCTGTTCAGGAGTAAAGGTCATGTGATTTCAATATGCTGCCTAGTTTCTCTGGGAAAGAGCACCAGACACTTTGTCTCCAAGTCACATTGTCATGTTTGTTTTTTTTTGTTTCAGCTCTCTTCCACAGAGCAAAAATATCCGCATCCTCCGTCTCAAAGACCCAGATCGTGGCATAAATGAACAAAGTAGTCAAGACGGCGACGACGAGTAGTAGTTCTAATACTAAGCTATATTAAATGTTTTGTTACACTGAACCGGGTATATAATGTTAAGTTCTGTTATATAGAGGGGGAAGGATGGGAATTTTGTTTATACCTTGCCAAAATATTTGTTGTTATAACTGGCACATTTCTAAGTTAATGATGTTGTTTTATGTAAATTAAAACAAACGAGTTGGGAAAAATACAGTGTTGGTGTTTTTTATGCATATGTCAGGACAATTTCTGTACTTGTCTCGCTAACTGGAAGTCATAATTCAAGTTCATCTCACAGTACACACATAATCCTGCTCTCCTCTTCAGCCCATTCTCTGGATAAAAGTCAGTGTGATTTGAATCTGCTTTAAAACGTGAAACGCTTTTGGGGTCAGTCTTGTGAGGAGGAATGCTTTGCACCTTTAAGAGCTCTGTGCCAAATCCTCCACACAAGGCGGTCCGTTGGAATGCACTTCCACTCATGCACATAACATCTGCTGACAACATACCTGACCTCCTGAGGCAAGTGGTACTTTTTATGACATCCCTGAGCACGGCGATAAGCGGACAACATGAAGGCCAAATCTGTTCCGTTGAGGTTGTTTGATAGAAATACAGCCTCAGGTGACACTCTCAATGTACAAGCAGCAAAATATCAGCAACATGTGGATCACCAGGAGAGCCCGGATCACTCTGGACACAACGACAGCCGAACAGTGGGTGACAACAGACAAAATGAGAAGAGCCATCGAGGAGTTCATTTTGCATTTCTGCCAGAGACGTATGAGCCGCTGGTAGATGAGGAGGAGCAAGACGAGGCAAAAGAAGAGAAGAAGAAAAGGAAGGAAGAAAGAAATGTACAAAAAAGTCAGGAAGGTTGGTGTTCTGTTAATGTCCTGTTGTACTGAAAAAACCGCCTGCTGATGGGTGTGTGTGCGTCTTGTTCTGCTTTGTTGGAAAGATTTGGCAAAGCGTAATTAAAAATCTGATAAGATAGAAAGTTACAGTTAACTTATTTGTATCTTGTCTGATTCTTGCGATACTTTAAAAATAAATCTAGTACCTCTAAATAGTGGATTTGTTAAAACTATATGTTTATCCAAGGCAAATGTGAACACTCGGGCAAAATCAGCCTCAATCCAAATGATTTAACAGATTAATTGGAATAAAAAAATATGTTTGTTTAAATAAACAAAATATAATCCATTTCCTTTTTTAATCGTATAAAAGATCAACATCTTTGACTAGAGCAGTGCTTCTCAAAGTGTGGTCCGCGGACCACTGATGGTCCGTGAGCGCCCCCTAGTGGTCCGTGAGTATATTGGTAAAATTTCACATTTGAAATAAATAAATCAATTTAAGTTTTCCGCACTCTCACGCGAATATTTCCGCAATAGAGCGAGCTTAAGTTTCACTTTCAATTGTATCATATAGCCCAGCGCAACACCTTCATCACACATGTTGCCACTTGTTTGTACCATTTTCAGGTGATTTGTAATCTGCTATAGAAGAACGATGTGTTTTTGGATATTTGTGGAGTTAGGTGGTCCGCGAGTGTTTTTTTATTGGTTAAGTGGTCCTTGGTATGAAAAAGTTTGAGAAACACTGGACTAGAGGGTACTGTCACATTGACACTACAATAAAAAAGTAGGATATTCTTTAAGTTAATTTACTATGTAACATGTTGTCCATGTTTAGGATACATTACGTAATACAATGCATGTCTTATTTGAAGATTTGTATTGATCTGTTCTACAGTAACTGAAGATTGTAGTGTAATATTTGTATGTATTCATATTAGCAAACTATGGATAAGCTTAAAATGGGAATAATTTGAGTAAAACTGTGAGCTGGATTTGGGGCCTGTTGACATGTGTTTTTGAGGACAAAGGAAGATGGGGGAAGGTGAGAGCATGTCTTGATTTGCATTCAACTTAGATCTAGCTACAGTGTTTGTGATATTAAGAGAGGTCCCTTGGGTTTCTCTGGTGGTTATCAATAGTAGCAGTTAAGTGAATACTGTTCAAACAATACCTGTGTTTGTGTTTTATATTGATTTCTCTGTTTTGTCCTTTCATAAATGTAAGGACTAAAAATGGCTATAAACATTCTGGGCTGGTTGGAGTAAACAGGGTTTTATTGCTCTGTGGGGGAGGTGTAGGTATGCAGGCCTTGAGACCTTTTGTTGGAAAGTGAGCCTGTTTGGTTTCCTGCTGGCCAGCGTTGCGTCTCCCAATGAGATGACCTGAAAAGATGACCAGCTGACCTAACCCCTAACCCCTCCTTCTTACTCTGGTATATCTCCGGTGGATCCCTGGCGTTCGGTCTCTCTTCACATGCTGCCCCGAGCGAAAGGATCTCCGCAGCACGCGAACCAGGGCAGGAGTGAGCCGGCATACTCCTTAACCATTACAATATAATTGTAATATATTATGTTGTATTGTAATGATTGTATTGCATTGTCGTATTACCATTAAAGTTAACGGTTACTTGGTAGCTATGGATTCCTTCCTGTATTATAACCAGCTTGATAGGGACGCGCGGAGATTTGAAAAGCGGGTCAGTTTTCCCTTTAAATCTCTAACAAGATTCATCTGAATTTAAGTCAAGATAGTAACTGCTTTTACACTAAAATCACATTTAATATATAGGTGACAGTTTGGATTGCTTTATGTGTATCAGTTTTGATAAGTTCAGCCAAGGAGGAAGGAAGTACCGGTCGGCCTTTTCCTGTTCAGAGCTCAGGAGACAATAGTGTTGTAGAAGCAAACACAGTAGTGGTGGCTTAAAGCCCACTTCTGCTCCGCGCCGTCCGTCAGATGAGCCTGGTCAGATTAATAAAAGAAGTTCAAAACACCGGCATAAAAGTTATAACAATAATCTGATTTTAATGGTAAAAAACACAATACGAAATACAGAGTGCCCTGAAACAGAGCACTCCGGGCTCCCCGCTCTACTGCCGTGCGATACAGATATCGGGACCAGCCAGTCAGAAACGGGGCATTTTGCATGAATAAACAACAGTATATATGGACATATTTGGCATATGTCTCACTAGTTACTACATAAGCCTTACTGGTGACGCCAGGAGCAGCACCAAAGTCCCAACTTGTAAGCTTTTGTGATGAACTAGTGACCCTCTGACCGTACTAGTGACACTAAAAGTTAACTGCACTGCAAACACTCTGACAAGTTCTGACAAGAAATAGCTTCACTTCACATGTCAAAATTGCTAAATCTAAGTATTATCTGTCAGTTACCACAAAGAACCTGAACAACCCTAGAAAATTCTGGAAAGCCATAAAATCGATATCCACCGGTGATATCCGTAATGAGCTACCTCCGTGCCTTACCACAGTATCTGGCACTATATCGGATAGGACCACCATACTAAATTGTTTTAATGAGCATTTTGTGTCCTGTGGCTCTCTGTTTCATTCTGTTTCTAATTCTGCTTCTGTGAACACCACAGTCGGTGACTCAGAACAATGTGGTCTGGAAAACCCCTTCAGTTTTACTCCTTTTACTGTTGATGTTGTTCGTGAAGTCTTAACCAAGCTAGATCCTAAAAAGCCGGCTGGTCCGGACAACGTAGAACCTTTCTTTTTAAAGATAGCTGCAGATTTTATTGCTCCACCTCTTACTACTCTTTTTAACCTCTCCCTCAGCACGAACAAAATCCCAAAAGTATGGAAGTCAGCTTATGTCCTGCCACTACTAAAAGGAGGGGAGGCCACCTTATTAAACAATTATAGACCCATCTCTAAGTTGTCAGTTCTGGCCAAGGTTCTTGAACGCTTAGTGAGTGAACAGGTAAAGGAGTTTTTATGTAACAATGACATCCTGTCTAAACATCAGTCAGGCTTCAGAAAGCAACATAGCACCATCACTGCCACAATGAAAGTGGTAAATGATATTACGAGTATTTTAGATAATAAGCAGAGTTGTGCAGCTCTATTTGTTGACCTATCCAAAGCTTTTGATACTGTCTATCATTGCATTTTGAAGCAAAGGCTGGTCAGTATAGGCATGTCCAGCCATGCAGTAGGATGGTTTGTAAACTACCTCTCTGAAAGATCCCAATGTGTTCAGTTTGATGGGCTGTCTTCTGAGTGGTTAAACATCACTAATGGTGTACCACAAGGTTCAGTTTTAGGTCCGCTATTATTCTCTATCTATATTAATAGTTTAGGTGAAAATGTCGAAGGAGCAACCTTACATTTTTATGCGGACGATACCGTTATGTACTGTGCAGGTCCCTCGATTAACGAGGCTGTTGTTAAATTACAGGCTGTTTTTAACATTATTCAGGCTCAGCTCTCTGAGCTTAAGCTTCTTTTAAATGTGGATAAAACCAAGGTAATGCTCTTTTCTAAAGCTAAAGCTAAAAATACACCAGAGACTGCTTTGGATATTGTAACTACGCAAGAAATACAACTTGAAGTGGTTACCTGTTACAAATACTTGGGTATCTGGCTTGATGACTGTCTCACTTTTAAACTTCATGTCAATAACCTGCTTAAAAAGCTGAGGGTTAGGCTAGGTTTCTTTTACAGAAATAAGTCCTGTTTCTCGCTTGAGGCCAGGAAAAGGCTAGTCACTGTGACCTTTTTACCTGTGCTGGATTATGGTGATTTGTTATATATGAATGCACCTGCCAATTACCTGAGCAAGTTAGATGCTGCGTATCACAGTGCACTGAGATTTTTGACAAATTGTAAACCACTTACGCATCACTGTACCCTGTATACCAAGGCGGTTATGCCATCACTTACTGTACGGAGGCTCAGTCACTGGTACTTTTTCATTTACAAAGCCATGTTGGATAAACTACCATCTTATATCTGCTCCCTGATCTCTCTGCGAATTGAAAGTACTTATTGCCTGAGATCGCATGCTGTGGTTTTATTAAATGTGCCAAGTGCTAGGACTGTCTTAGGGAAGAAAGCTTTTAGATGTGCAGCTCCACTAACATGGAACAGTCTGCAAAAAGAATGGAAAATTACCAAGCTAGTACCACTACATGTTTTTAAAGCTCGGTTGGATGCTACAAAATCAGATGCTGTTGGTACCTGTACTTGTGGTTAAATATGTAAATTGTAATCCCTGTACATTTTGCTGTATGATGTCCTTTTGTTGTTCTGTTGTTTATGTCTTCTTGTGGAACCTACTGCTGCAGGTCTCCCTTGAAAAAGAGATCATTGATCTCAATGGGATTTTACCTGGATAAATAAAGGTTTTGAATTGAATTGAATTGACAAGTTGGGACTTTGGTGCTGCTAGTGCTGCTCCTGGCATCACTAGTAAGGCTTATGTGGTAACTAGTCGGACAAAAGTGCCACTAGTTGCTGAAAAAGAGTGACTAGTATAATTGTGTATTCAACTAGTAAAGCAGAGTGCCAAACTAGTGTGACCATATATCTAACAAGTGAAATCAAAGAGCCAACTAGTGTAGGCAGCTGCCGTCTGATATCAAGGATATGGAATAAATACTCAAACGGCTTGCAAAACTCCTTGAAATGTTTCTTTTTACAAAAAGAAAATATAACTAATTTGAATTAATTTTACTTTTTTGTGAACAATAAGTACCTTTTGAAAAATGTATTTAAATTTCTAATTCTTTTATTTTGAAATGTAACTTACAGTTTGATGGTCTTTTTAATAAAAAAAAGTGTTGCAGTAAGAAATTGCATGTTTTAGAATTCATGTTTTGATTGGATGAACAATTTAAGACTGAATAAATTTAAAAAAACTAAAGTCTACAGAAGTTGTTGAAGTTCTTTGAGTATTTTGTACTTAAATAAATAAATAAGAAAATATTGGCCAATGAGTTGTCTAGAAATATATGTGTTGATTTCAATATTCATGCAATTAAGTACTTTTGCATCAAACTAATTAATTATGGAGAAATTCAACATTTAAAATGTGTCAAACAATGTTTATAAGTACAGTACAATACAAAAATAATAATTTAAGTTTAAGTAACTTATCATTTTTGATCAATCATTTACTCTATAGTTTTAAGTTAGTTTACTTAAAACTTTGGTGGTAATCAGTTTCCACAAAAGTTTTGAGTACTCCGAACTAATCGGGTTTTACAGTTAAGGTGTATCTGAATGATCCACGCCAGACCCCTTTCTGATCCACAAATAAAATGTATTATTATTAGACCGTTTGATCTCGTTTTTCAACGCGAGACTTTACCGCATATAAAAAGCGCGAATTCGACACGAGGGGTCTTCTCCAAACTGTGTTGGAGTTGTGTGTGCGGCTGCAGCAGCAAATTAGGTAATTATTCACAGTTACCAGTCGTTCTAATTCACTATAACAACCTCAACATTCCCAGCTGCTGTCTGGCTTAATAGTTGTTATGTTAACAAGTAACCTGAGTTAGCCAGCTAAGCTAGCTTTGTAACGTTGCTAATTATTGCTGTAACCAAACAACGTTACTAACGTGCTGTCATTGTTGTCGTTTAACCTGTTAAACCCATAGACTGTATATCTAAAGGTTAAACCACATCAATTATTACTGAAGGTTTGCGAAATGCAGGTTAGCGTTTTAATAGCAGAAGAGACCCAAGTTCCCATCAGCAAAAACACGTGGGTTTGCAATCCTGGCTCCAAAATGGTGGAATGAGCTCCCCATTGACATCAGGACAGCAGATAGCTTACACACCTTCCGGCGCAGACTGAAAACTCATCTCTGTCGACTCCACTTCGAGCAATAGAACTATTAACAAAGCACTTATATACTAATAAAGGACTGGCTTATCTAAAGCTAGTGGAGTAGCACTTGAAATGTTTTTGCTCTATGAAACCTGATGTACTTATATGATTCTGTTTTCTTCAAGTTTGTATTTTGTTGGTCGAACGCACTTATTGTAAGTTGCTTTGGATAAAAGCGTCAGCTAAATGCAATGTAATGTAATGTAAGAGTAGCTGTTCAAATTCAAGCATTAGCTCGACGATGCTAGTAAAGTATATTGTTTGCTTGCTTTCAGTTTCAGTTTCTCCCCGAATGTAAACTAGCTGTCCAAGATGCCCAAGAGGAAAAGCGGCTCAGCAATTGAGGAGCCTCCAAAGCAGGTCAATGCGGAGGAGAAAGACATGGAAGATGAGAGTGACAGTGACCAGGAAGATCATCCACAGAATAGACAGGTTTGTACCATCACTGACATGACATAATATATTTTTCTGGTTTCCGTTAACTGTTTGTCTTAAATGACACCCTGAGAAGTTTAGAAATCGAGAAGGAACTTACAGAGTAGATATATGCAGTGATGCAAATTAGCCTCCCGCGTTTTTAACGCTGATTTGGGTGACTTGTATAATTCGTGGAGAACCGAAGAGTTTTCGTTTTTTGGGGGGGCTATGGAGTCAGATTTGGGTCAATATTCTAGCGCGCAAAACAAGCTACTCACGAGTGGAAAATGTGCTTTTACACGCTCATGAAATGACCCCCGCACGCAGATTAAACCCCGGCGAGCGGCTATGCGCTCGCTCGCTCGCGAGAGAGACAGCCCTCTTGCTAGCTCGCGGGAGTGTCAGCCTCACTTGCTTGCGGAGTACGCACGTGAAAAGTTTCTGACACTTTGGGGCGGAGCCACAAGACTTTGATTGACAGCTGCCAGGAAGCCCGGAGTTGCCAGGTTTGATAAATGCCTGAACTACCAAGAGCCGAGGAGTGACATCTGCAAGATCAGTTGGACGAGACTGAATGGTAAAGTTGTCCATAAAAAACTATTATATTCGTAATTTATATTCGTAAAGTGTACAGCTACACAGCTATATATATATATATATATATATATATATAAATTTATTTGATATAAAAAAAATTACACATTAATTCTAGGAGTGCAATACTTTTACAAACACTAGTAATAATATGCATTCATTATGACAACATCATACTATTACTATAGGAGTGTTCTATAGTGTGTTCAAAAAACAACTACAGAAACACTATATATTATACTATAGTTATACTATTTAAAATAATATAGGAATACTACAAAGATCTAGATACATAGTATTACTATTGAAATATTATAGGGCTACTATAGCTAATAAAATGGCACTACATAACAAATTATAGTAATACAATAGCTGGTGAAAAATACAAACTTACTAAAGGACACTATACAACTCTTATAGTAATACTATAATTCATTTATAGTTCATTTCGTAAGGGAGGTGCATACAGCAGACAGCAGCTTTCGACAGATACAGCCCACTCAAAAATATATTGTTTTATATAAAATTCATTAAGATATATATTAGGGCCGGGACTCGATTAAAAAAATTAATCTAATTAATTAGAGGCTTTGTAATTAATTAATCGAAATTAATCGCATTTTTAATCACATATAAATATTTGACCTGAGAACAGTGAGAAGCAATTTTTTTCACATGGATTTTAGTATACCATTAGGCGCATTCACACCGCAGTACTTTTCCCACAAAGGTTCATGAGAACTTAGTTCATGAGAACTCTTTGAATTTGGGGGAGGATTAGGCAAATGAAGCCGCTGACGTCACTTCTTCTTCTTCTGCTTTGGGTTTACTGGCAGGCCGCAAACCACTTCACGGCGTATACTGCCGCCCAAAGTCCCCGGAGTTGGGGACTGGCTTCAGTAGAAGGCTGCTGGGAGTCCCAGCAGCCTTCCGAGTAAATCGCCAGAACGCCGACACCTCCTCATCTCCACCGCTCCCATGTTTTATTTTGTGTTGCCATAAGTTAGTCTCTCTGCGTTTCTGCGCTGGGCTAATGCTAATAATGCTAATGCGAGGATAATAAAATTCACAAAACTTTTTGGGAGTTTTATGGGGCGTGGTTTGCAATCCGCGCAGCCAATCAGAAATATAGCTCTTTTCTCACAAGAGAGCCGTACGAAAGTCCCTGCTCTCTAGCAGCTCTCTGATCTCTAGCAGGGACTTTCGTGGGGGTAAAAAGGTTCTCATGAACTAATTTTAGTACCGGCTCTTTTTGGTGTGAACGCGATAAAAGAGGCTAACGTCCACGCTAGCTTCCACGCTAGCTGCTATATGTTTTGCATTGAGGTGATACTTGAGGCTTGATGTGCTGCGGTGATATGCGAATTCCTTTTTGCATAATTTGCACACAACCGTGCTCTTATCGACGCTTCCATCCGTCCGTTTTTTAAAACAACATATCCCACTGTTGTTCACTGTGGTTTGTTGTTATCTGAAGTCATGAACGTTAGTTGGTGCTCCAGTATAATCGGTACGCCTGAAACTCATCCAGCGAGAAACGTTCCGCGGTGCAAAAATAAGTGCGATTAAAATGCGTTAATTTTTTTAACGCGTTAATTTTTGTGTAATTAATTAATCTTAATTAACGCGTTAAAGTCCCGGCCCTAATATATATATATTAGGGCCGGGACTCGATTAAAAAAATTAATCTAATTAATTAGAGGCTTTGTAATTAATTAATCGAAATTAATCGCATTTTTAATCGCATATAAATATTTGACCTGAGAACAGTGAGAAGCAATTTTTTTCACATGGATTTTAGTATACCATTAGGCGCATTCCCACCACAGTACTTTTCCCACAAAGGTTCATGAGAACTTAGTTCATGAGAACAAATGAAGCCGCTGACGTCACTTCTTCTTCTTCTGCTTTGGGTTTACTGGCAGGCCGCAAACCACTTCACGGCGTATACTGCCGCCCAAAGTCCCCGGCCGGAGGTCCCCGGAGTTGGGGAAGGCTTCATTAGAAGCTGCTGGGAGTCCCAGCAGCTTCTAATGAAGCCTTCCGAGTAAATCGCCAGAACGCCGACACCTCCTCATCTCCACCGCTCCCATGTTTTATTTTGTGTTGCCATAAGTTAGTCTCTCTGCGTTTCTGCGCTGGGCTAATGCTAATGCTAATAATGCTAATGCGAGGATAATAAAATGGCGGCTTCACCAAACTTTTTGGGAGTTTTACGGGGCGTGGTTTGCAATCCGCCCAGCCAATCAGAAATATAGCTCTTTTCTCACAAGAGAGCCGTACGAAAGTCCCTGCTCTCTAGCAGCTCTCTGCTCTCTAGCAGGGACTTTCGTGGGGGTAAAAAGGTTCTCATGAACTAATTTTAGTACCAGCTCTTTTTGGTGTGAACGCGATAAAAGAGGCTAACGTCCACGCTAGCTTCCACGCTAGCTGCTATATGTTTTGCATTGAGGTGATACTTGAGGCTTGATGTGCTGCGGTGATATGCGAATTCCTTTTTGCATAATTTGCACACAACCGTGCTCTTATCGACGCTTCCATCCGTCCGTTTTTTAAAACAACATTTCCCACTGTTGTTCACTGTGGTTTGTTGTTGTCTGAAGTCATGAACGTTAGTTGGTGCTCCAGTATAATCGGTACGCCTGAAACTCATCCAGTGAGAAACGTTCCGCGGTGCAAAAATAAGTGCGATTAAAATGCGTTAATTTTTTTAACGCGTTAATTTTTGTGTAATTAATTAATCTTAATTAACGCGTTAAAGTCCCGGCCCTAATATATATATATTAGTGATGCACGATAATTATCGGTCCGATATTAGGAATTATGACGTCATCCCGATAAACCCCATTACAGTATTAATAGCCCCGATAATATACAATATATTTTTTGGGTAAAAGAAAAAAATACTGCGGTGTGGGTGGATTGGGATGAGGGGCGCTTGTTTTTCACTCGGCTCCTCCCGTTTTGCCAGTACTGTGGTATTAGTGGTTTAGGAAGAGGGGAGTTCTTCACAAATCCAGCGCTCCCTAACTCATGCCTGACTGTGACGTAAATGGTGTGCGGCCGTGAAGCCAGGACAGTAAACAAACATGTCGTCGGTGGTATGGGCGTTGGAGCTATGTGCAACTCAAGGCATATGCTCGAACCGGAGCTGCCTGGACGCTGCAATCATGTTGCACACTATCCGTGCTGAGTGTGCTGACTTTTCGTACAATGTCCCACTGTCTGGCTTCCTGCAAGTCAAGTGCTCGGCGCAGTTGTGGCGAAATGTCGCTCCTCTGTTTTCATTTAAACAGCTCCTTATATCCGTTAGCGCAGCTAGCTAGCACCAGATGCTAACAACAACAATGCACGTAAGGTCTCTCTCTTGCTCGGGCCACACATACACACACCCTCCCGGTGGCCAGTCGGTGCCTGCCGGTGAGCGTGGAAGTGTGGTCTGCCACAAGCGGGCGGCAGGAGCAGGGCTGTCAGCATCAGCTTGTAGATGGTATTTTAAACTCGATGCGCTCTGAAACTACGGGGCGGCCAAGGAAAAAAAATACACATGCGTTAATCGCGTTAAAAAAATTAGTGGCGTAAAAAAATTGTTATTATCGGTCTTGAGAAGCAGGAAGTTATCGATATCGGTTTTTAAAAAAACAATATCGTGCATCCCTTATATATATATATATATATTTATATATATATATATTATATATTAGGGCTGTCAAGTTAACGCGTTAATAAAAAAAATTACCGCCACTAATTATTTTACTGCGATTAACGCATGTGTATTTTTTTTTCCTCGGCCGCCCCGTAGTTTCAGAGCGCATCGAGTTTAAAATACCATCTACAAGCTGATGCTGACAGCCCCGCTGATGCTGACAGCCCCGCTCCTGCCGCCCGCTTGTGGCAGACCACACTTCCACGCTCACCGGCAGGCACCGACTGGCTATTGGGAGGACCGGGAGGGTGTGTGTATTAGGGGTTTCACAACTACCAATATTTACTAGTCGACACATTTTTCAAAATAGCAATCGACTAGTCGTTACGTCATAATAAAGACACACAAAGAGAGGTGTTCAACTGTATTTTATTTTAAATTTGTGTTACATGGCTGAGTAAATAACAAACAGTGACTTAGTCAATAAGAAACGGTAACTGGACTCACCAAAATGTACAGCAAAAAACTCGCAAACTTAAATGCCACGTAAATCCAGTGCGCAACAGCGCATTGCGCAACACATTATTCGCTGTCCTCCACGATAACGTCCACCTTTCTGGTTTGCGTTGAGGAACACCAACGCATCGACGTGTGAGGGAAGGAGGCTTGACCGCTGTCGGGTGACAGTGTTGCCTGCCAGGGAAAAAACCCTCAAACTCGGGGTGCTCGTGGCTGGAATAGCCAGGTAGCTCCTTGTAAGCTTGGCTAAACGGCG